CATCACCTCAACACCTGCCTCGGGCCTTCGCGATGCTTTGTTTTAATTAAACAGTCCGATACCCCTGGTCCGCATCAGTTCTAAGTTGGCTGCTAGGCGCCGGCCGAGGCGAGGCACCACGCGAAACCAGGGGATGCGGCACACATGCGCGTGGGAACGAGCAGATGCCTCCCCTCCTCACCTCTTCAGAGCACGGGAAACGGCGGCAGAGCATGCGCGGGAGGACAAGAGATGGGCATGCTGCGGCGCTTTTTTTCCTTCTTTTATTTATTTATTTAATTACCTGTTCATTTACTTATGTATGTATGCGTGTATGTATGTGTGCATTTATTTACTTTTTGTTTTCTTTTCCAAACTGCAAGGTCTTTTATTTATCTGCAGATCTCTCATCAGGTCCAATCACCACTGGCTACAGTGTTTATGCAGGAACTGCAGCGCCAGATCCTCACGGGGCACAGCCCATCTCATCATCTACCAGAAACGTCATCGGTCGCCCTCCCCCGCCCTCATCTCTGTTGTTCAACTGTGGGCTCCTCAGAACCTAAGAGTCCTGTCCTAGTCTGTGTGTCACTCAGCCAGGATGGCAGAGCCCAGTCCACAGGTTTGACAGAGCATCTGTATCATCGATGCTACAAAACCTCTAGCAGTCAGTGAAGCACCACCTTCTGCCACCAGAGCCCATGTGGGAAGGTTCCCAGTTCACCCCAGAGGCTTCTTCATACACCTTTGTAGGTAGGGCATGTGCCACGTGATCTTGGGGTTGAGCCCCTGTTGGGGGCAGCATGTGTCTCCTCTCTCTCTCTCTTTCACTCTTGCTCTCTCCCCCCTCCCTTCCTCCCTCCCAGAAATAAGTACAGAAACACACACGCATATGCTGCCCAGGAAGGAACAGAGAGAGACCCAGAGGAAGAAGGAGAAGGCACCCCCCACCATAAGACTCAATCACGCTGCAACCCCTTCTCCTCCATCCCTTCCTCCTCTTTTGGACTTCAGGTATGTGCGCATGAACATGTGTACACACACAACCCACACCACACACACACACACACACACACACACACATACACAATAAAATGGTCAGTTTATCAAAAGAATTATTTTATTTAACCTTTATTTATCCATTTATTTATTTTAATTGGCCCAGGGAGTGATAGCACACACACAAGTGTGTGTGTGTGTGTGTGTGTGAGAGAGAGAGAGAGACTGCATGTGAGAGGGAGAAATCTGCCAGGTCTGGGACTCAAAATGAGGTCGCTCATGTGGGAGTCCAGTGCCCTTCACCACCATGACAACTGCTAATCCCAAATGGTGGGTTTTCAGGACACCAGATCCAGTACTCAAACTGCCCCATCCGCCATGTGGAATCCCTTAACCTCCAAGCCAAAGGCTTGTCAGGCTGTACCCTGTCACATAACCGCTTCCCCCCCTCCCATGGGGCAGTGACCTGTGTCTCTCAGAACATCAGCATCCTACCCTACTCTTCAAGCTCCAGTACCCAGGGAGTTCACAGGGAGGCCCACCAAAGGGAAACTGCCTTCCCACCCAGGGCAGGGTTGGCACTGGGGTCCCAGAGCTTCGCTCTCTACCACCGCACTGACTTCGGACCCGGCACGCATGCAGGACAATGAGTCCAACGTGGCAGGAGGGTGCACGGACCCCCGTGTGCAGAGCTCCTACCACCTCCTGCTAGGACAATGACAGTGAAGGGGGCCAGTTCCCTGCCGGCTTGCAGCACGTGTGTGCAGAGGAGAAGGGGCTGCAGCGAGCAAGCAGGGCCATCCACCCTGGACCGAGTGACAGGAGGGCCTCTCTCCGTGTCTGTCTCTTTCTCACACAGGCCACCCTAGGGCAAAGAATGACAGAACCGTTAAGTGCTCTGCACCAGAAAGCCAGATCCCACCAAGGCCTGCCTGCCTGGGCTAGGCTAGAATCCTGGGCCCCTGCGCCTCCAAAAACAAAAGCAAGCCTTTCACCATGGGCTATGTATGCTGGACAGGCCAACGACGGGATGGGAGCGTGGAGGACACACGCCGGAGCAATGCCGCGGCCCACGGGGGACGGGATGGCAGGCGGGGAGCTGTGTGCCCACCCAGTGCACGGCGCGGGGAGGAGCCTGCCAGTGCTGCCCGGCTCTATGGAAGGAGGTCGGACCAAGCTCCCCCCCAAACCTCCCCACCTTCCCTTCCTCTCTCTCTCTGTCCCTCCCAGAAACAGAAACAGACAGGAAGAAAGAGAAACAGACAGGAAGAAAGGAGCCAGGTCTAGCTCACCTGGGCACTTTTGAGAGTGACAACACCTCCCTCCACACTGCCATATTTTTTTTTCATTTAAATTAATCTCTAATTTGTCACAGGGGACCCATGTGCTTCACAGGTGAGGAAAAGAGAGACATAGAGAAGCAGAAAGCACCCCTATAAGAATTATTCAGGCTACAACTCCTTCTCTTCACGTGTACACACACAAGTCCCTCACATACACACAACACACACACTTGTGCATACACACACAATAAAATAGTGGGTTTTTCAGGCCACCAGATCCACGACTCAAACTGCCCCATCTGCCATATGGATTCCAGCTAACTCCCTTAACCTTCAAGCCAAAGACTGGCCAGGCTGTACCGTGTCACATAACTGCCTCCCCTGCCTCCCGTGGGGGCAGTGACCCTCATCTCTCTGAACATCAGCATCCTACCCTACGTTTCAAGCTCCAATACTCAGGGAGTTCACAGGGAGGCCCGCCAAATGGTTATCTGCCTTCCCACTCAGGGTAGGGTCAGCATTGTAGTCCCAGAGCTTTGCTTTCTACCACTGCACCAAGTTCAGACTGGGCGCCCTCGACCTTCCCTGAAGGACGACGAGTCCAACGTGGTAGGAGGGTGCGCGGAGCCTGCATGCAGATCTCCTACAACCCCTGCTAGGACAATGACAGCTAAGGGGCCAGCAGCCGGCTCGCTGGATCCCACATAGCCAACCATGCTCTTAGAGTCCGGAACCAGGCCTCCTGAGGAACACATCCAACCCATGTGCGCGCGGGAGTGGAGAGGAGAAAGGACTACAGCAAGAGTGGTCATCCCCCCTGGACGGGGAGCTGAGTGGCAGCGGGGACTGTCTCTGTGTCTGTCTCTGTCCCTGAAACGCACACATACCACCCTAGGGCAAAGAACGACAGCAGCATTAAACAAGGTCAGAACTCCCAGGCCAGGGTCGCGCCTCCTGTGTCAAGGACAGAAGAAGGGAGGGGAAGGGAGGGAAGGAGTTTTTCACTGGGGAAATGGGAACAGAACTCTCACTGCAGCAGCAGGTTCGCTCCGTCTCGCCACGCCACGCCACGCCACCCCACGGGGCTGTGGAGAGTCTCCCAGTCCTGCCCGGCTCTGTGGGAAAAGGTTGGATTAGGCCCCCAGAGTCTCGCCGCCCGCCGCTGTTCCTCAGGCATCCTCCTGGCCACCACCACCAAATCAGCCTCCAACCGCCCGCAGTCCCTAAAACAGTGACCACTAGGTGCCACCCCAGGACCAGCGCTGGTGTCAGGGACGGGGCGGGGCGGGGCGAGCTGGGGGGAGGGGAGAAGGGGTTCTTCTTCCCCAGCGTTTTAATTTATTGAGGTATTTATTCATGCATTTTTCTTTATAAATCTATTTTCCGTCAACATGTGGGATGGTCTCAATCTATCATCCGGGATTGGAAGGCAAGCCCATTGTCCTCAAGGCTTCATTACCGGGCTGGAGCTGTGTCGGTAAAGACAGAGGCGGGCCACACAGGCACTGGCGCCCCATAGGTGAGAGGTGAGCCACGTAAAAGTGGCCTTCGGTTGGCAGGTGGCATTGTGCTGAAGGCAGCTGGACTTCCCCACAGGGCTGACCGAGGTCTGGATCCTGGACTTGGCAGCGTGCTTTCTCATTCTCTCTCTCTCTCTCTCTTTCTCCCCAACCTCAAAATAATTAATTAATGACAATGAACAAAAGTAAATAAAATAATTGTCTCTAAAAAAATTAAGGGACCACCCTTCAACAAGCGCAAAGGTCAGTGGAAGCCATCTGGGTAGCAGACCATCCAGTGTCTTCAGAATCCTAAGAGCTCCCGCCTTCACTCATCCAACCTTGTGTCTTGATATTCTCACTTTACTGAGTTCCTAAAAAATGGTTTCCCAGTTTTTCTTTTCTCTATACACAAGGAAGCCCATTCAAACCAATGATGTGGCTGGCCTGTCAAAATTGGTCTTTTGCTGCTTGAAAAGCAAGCTTGCAGATGGGAAACTGGAGCATTTTGGCTAGAGGGTAAGGTAGGTGGGTTGTTACGGGATTTTCCTGAGAGGATTTCCAATAGGAGAGCCTTTGCAAAGAGGTTTCTACTAAGGACTCATGCTTATCTTTTCTCCCCCACACTGAGTAATCAGATATTTCCTGGGGAATTACTAAGCTTATTAACAGAAGTCATTATATTTATGTTAATCAGAATTTTCCTTTTCTGACAAAGTTAACTTTTAGCATATATCAGTAGCTTATAAACATTTACAAAACTAAGCTCATTCAACATATTTCCTAATGCACAGACCAACCCACTAGTTTTCAGTCCAATGAAATGGGAAAGACTAAAAATATGCATAGTTGAGGCATTTAACTTAATGAGATCTGTTACAAAGACTTGGGGACCAGCAGATGGTGTAATGATTACATTACATCACTGAATTCCCATGTAGTTGACCATGGTTCGACTCCCGGCCCTGGCTGATTCAAACGCACTCCAGCCACGTGTACGTTCGTTCATGCCTAAAATCACGAGAGAAGAATGGAGGACAAGGGATTGTGGTGTGGTCATCCCACCTAAGGGTCAATATCTTGCTTTCTGACTCTCTGGTGAGCACATGTACCCTGTAGCAAACATCTCTCTGAAAGACAGACTCTAAAAAGAACCAGGCAGCAATGATCTCCTGCATACATGCTTAATATTGAATTTCCACCCTTACATTCAGATTTTAACAATGTAACATTTTTTTTTTACTAAGCATTTTATTGTATGCTGATGCCAGTGTGTATAAAATTATTCTGTGAAATAGAAATTTATGAAAATCCGGAGAGGTAGATGTTAAGGACTGACAAAAGTAAAAGTTTTACATATAATGGCACAGGTGTTATAGGAAAAGCTTTTGTATAGGCTTCCAATTTAGCTCTCTTGAATATTCACTGGTTCACGAGAAATGGCTTGGGAAAACTTTCAAAGATTCATTTTACTACAAAAAAGAACAGACTTTCTGGGGTCTGAAAGGATTTGTACTTGAAGACACTCCGGTCAGGAGGAGGTTGTGTTGAGCATTCTGCAGACAAAACTGTTTTAAGTCTGCGGCAGCCTGAGAGACCTTCACACGGTTGAGCCTGGCCTCCAGCTGGAGCTGCTGGACCACCTTCTTCATAGCGGCGACGCTGGAAGAACCAGACATGGCACGAGGAGAGCCTGGCAGACTGGACGGTCCTCTGGCCGGTGGGTCAGTAGTCAATCTGTGGGGGACACATGGCGGGGAGCTGGTGGCCGGGGGGCGGGGCTCTGAACTTTGTCCAACAATGTAACAATTTTGATATAGGCTACCCAGCATGCAAATCCTGTCAAACATTTTCTTGCCTTTGACTTGGTTCAGTAGTTTAGAAAGCCAATTAGTTTCTCTACAGAGAGTGGAAATTTGTTTCCAGTTAAATAATTAGATTAGACGGGAAACCAGTTCATTTACTTTTGTCAATATATGAAAGGAAATTTTATTGTTATTTTATTACATAACCTATTAGTGAATACACTACATGGAATTTTCATAAAGGACAAGTGAGGCACACTTCTGATTCCTCTGAGAACCTCGTTGTCATCTGTGTCTTTTGGAGGATCCATCTTCTAACAATGTCTGTGATACTGTCCATGAGGATAACAGTGGTGCTTGGTAGTAAAGAACATTTTGCTAAGTACTTCTATGTTGAGTCTATCTTGACAACTGTTCCTCCATGTATTGGTGGCCATCTTAATGTCAGCGTAGGCAACCAGCACTGAGAATCATACAGAAACAAAGATGTGGTGGCACCTCCCAGGCACAAGTTATTCTTCTGAAGTACATGCACTTATGACCCTGCCATTGCGGTTGAGTGTCTAGCAAACCCTCTGTCAAGTGTACCTTATGAAACTTGTTTACTTGCCTGCATAAAAACCCTGCTGCCTGGCTGAGGAGCACCAGACCCTTACTTGAGTGTCTGGTCACTGTGACATAACTTCACCTCTCAATAAACTTCTTTCCTATCCCTTTCAACATTTGGATTCACGTTCCTTGGCCTGTTCCTGATGTAAGATTCTATCATATGTCTTTGCTCAGGTGTTTACTTCTTTCTTCTGACCTGGATTTCAGCACTTGATCAAGTATTTCTTCATGATTGCGCACAGGATCCAGTCTAGATATAGGTTTTGTGTGTTCATAGGGAATGTCCACAGATGGGTCACAACATACTATCGTCCTGCCATCATACATCAAAGCAGGCTCCACTTTGAAGTTATAGTCAAATGGAAGAGGAGAACAGTTAGGCTTATAACAAACACAATATAAAGTTCCATTTTGGGATGGAAAGAAATGTTTCAAGATAACTTCTCTTTCATTTCACTCCTTTTATCGTTACTGCCACGGTGTGGCAAGATGCTTCTTAGGGGGACTGGCAGGTGACATGGTGGTCAAGGGCACTGGATTCACACATGCTCAACCATGGTTCAAGTACCAGACCTGGCAGCTTGCTTTCTTGCTTTCTCTCTCTCTCACTCACTCTCTGTCCTGCTCTGGTCAAATTCAAATAAATAAAGTTAAAAAACAATTATAAAAAAATTAAAAGATGTTTCTTAGGTGGTACATAAAAAGTTGTTCCAAAGAGAAATTGCTTCTAAAATCTGATTTTAGGTAGACTACTTTTTTTTTTTTTTGGAGAGGTTTTCACTATAGGGCGCGTGTGCTTGCCAGACAGACAGAGAGAGACATAGAGACAGAAAGCAAGAAATCCCCCCCCAGGGGGGATGGTCATGCCACAATCCCTTCTCCATTCTCCTCTCAGGATCTGGGGCACACACGCACACGCGCCCGGCATGAATTCTAAGCTGCCGGGTCCAGGATGCAAACTGCGATCGACTATGTGGGAGGCCAGCAACATAGCCATTACACTAACTGCTGGTTCCCTAGGTAGACTACTTTTAAATCCTTTATAGTAACTGTGAGCCTACCAACTTTCTGGATTAGAAAACTAATCAGCTTAAATAATTAGATTGTCAATCAAAAAACCAATCAGCTTTTCATACCCAGTTAAATGATTAGACTATCAGTTAGGAAACCAACCAGTTTCTCCATGGAAAATGGAAATTGTTACCTAGTTAATGATTATATTCTCAGAAAACTTTACTTGTAAGACCCCATCCTTTTAACATGTTAGAATTATAAGACTGAGTTTCCTGGGGTTATTTTGACATCATATTCTCCAGAGAATGCTTTCTTGAAGTTTCTCATAACCAGAACAAGGGGGAAATCTAATTAGAGCCAATTTCCTTCCCCAAGACAGAAGGGACAGGCCTTGAGTACAGATTGGGACAGAAACTAATCACCCGAGAGCTCGACGACACAGGGGTCTCTTAGACATGTGGAGAAAGTCCCCTCCTTGTGACAGAAATGCAAGTGTGGACCCACTCAGACCCCACAGTCTGTGGGGTCACAGAAACTCACACACATTCACACAGGCACTCCAGTTTATCGCAGTGTCTTCCTCCCTTTGGGCGAGTCCCAAACTGACGGCCCTGGTAAGGGGCCCTGTGCAGTGACATGAGCTAACAGCCCCTGCAGGGGAACATATAGCAACCAGAACTCAGAACTACTAGCTCAGATGGAAGACCATGGGAGACGATCAGGGCCTCCCTTCCAGGCAAATGGGGCAGGCCTGACTGGATTCCTGAGTCCTGTGACTTTACCTTAGCTGAAGGTTTTGGCATGTGAGTTGACTTTATGTGTTCAGTCTGAGTTGATCTGGTTCTCTGTTGAGTCCAATGGGGACTGGTTGTCTTCAGGGCATCAGGGCCCCCAATGAAGTAACACCAGAAAAAAGACCAGGGTAGCCGCCTCATTTGATTCTGGGGCCCCTTCATTCATGCAGGCCCCTCCCACCAAGTGGTGGCTCAAGGGAACAGCATGGCTGGTTTCCTTCCTAGTCAGGGAACCAGAAACATTGCAGGAAAACCAGGCCAAGGAGAAGCCAAGGCCACTCAGCCTAGGAGAATTCAGGTCTAGAACATGGGTGCTCCCAGCGAGCTCATGCTCTCAAGTCTGGGCCCTGCAGGTGCAAGTCGCAAGGGTTACATAGTCGGGGTCCTGGGCGTGGCAGACTGGAAGAGCCACAAGACAGACACAGAATATTTCTTTACAAATTACCCAATTTCAAATATTTCTGTTAGGAGGTGGCATGGTGGTCAAGGTGCTGAACACTCCCACATGGCCAACCATGATTCGAGCTCCAGATCTGGTGGCTCACTTTTTCACTTTCCCACTCTCTCCCTCTGATCAAATTAAAATAAATGATGAATAAATCAAATTTAAAAGTATTTCTGTTAGCAGTGCAAGTAAAGACTAAGACAAAAGTCTTCTCTGGTGATTTTCAGCAGTTACATTCTATAAACTTGCCTCAAATCCTGACCTTGATCCTAAGTAGCTTCTAGAGTAATCATAGGGTGGGGTTGTGATGAACCTCAGGTCACAACATTCTCATCCAGCAACCCCCTCAATGCTCTTTGAGTTATTGGCAACATCCTTGTAAACAAGCCAGTCTCACCAGGGCTCAATACCAGCTACTCTGCATTGCCCTCAACCTGTGAGACACTTAGCTGCAGCCTCCTGACCTGCAGGGACTGCCTCTCCTGGGAACTGAACGTTTTCAAACCACATCACCTTTGAGACATGTGAGCCAGCCAGCACAAGCCCAGAGGGCCTCCCATCTCCCTGCCCTGGAGGACATGACCATGGGTTCCTCGGCTTTTCTCATAACCTGTCCCTTCCATTTTCTTCATGGGTCATCCTCACATGAACCCATGAATCTAGCCACTTCCCCATCATTTTTGCTGTTTTCTTCAAAATGCAGATTTCCGTTTCATACTTTTCAGAGCAGTCTCTACACAGATGGCTGAACTCCCCCTCCCCTGAGTGTCCTGCAGTTTATTCATTAATCTTGAACTTCCAGCCAACGATGCCGTAACTCAGGCCTGAACAAAGTTAATCTCATATATGGATTTTCTCTGAGGCACATCAGAGCATTCTTGATCTTAGGGATACATGATACTACCTATCAATTACACATGGAGGCCACTGTAAATAGCAAAACCAATAACAACAACTGAAAAAATTATGCCACCATGTAGACCATGGTAATAACACTTGGTAACAGCATGAGCAGAGATGAGAGGTACTGTGGTCTTATCTGAGCTAGACCTTCATGTGTTGGGCAACTCAAAGCTCTCCCTTTACTCTGCACATGTCTAAGATGATTCCCTGTCTTCCTTTTGGGGTTACCGATACTTTCTAGGGAGGAGAAAAAATTGCAGATACAAATCTTCTAGTGAGGATGCCTGACTATAATGCCACAGAAGTGGACGGAGGCCTGTCACTGAGTTAAAAGATTGTTCTCAACCTGGACATTGTGATTGCCACTGAATATCTTTCCATTGTCAAAGGGTGTGCATCTCATCAAGATTTTAGGCATAGAATCCATACCCCAGTGTGTTCAAGCCATAGAGCATGTGCTCAACAGAGACAGAGAGAAAGTGAAAAATTACCCCCTGGAGTTGTGACCACTGCACAATCTCTTCTCCATTTTCCTCTCAGAATTTTGGGCATACATGCATGAACTCACACCCAGATTTTTATTTAAGCCACTAAGTCCAAGACTCAAATTATTGACTTCTCATTTTCCCTCTCTCTGTCTCTCTCTAGCAAGTGCACTGTGAAAAAAAAAAAAACTTAAAAAAAATCTTGTGTGGCCAGCAGTTGACATAATGGCTATGTCACTGGACTCCCATGTACTCAAACATGGCTCAAGTCCCAGACCCAGTGGCTTGGCATGTACGCACGCACACTCTGCATGAGTTTAAGCCACTGGGTCTGAGACTCGAATTGCGGTCGACTACATTGGAGTCCAGCGGCATAGCCATTATGCTAACTGCTGGTCCCAGAATAAATGTTTTTAAGTTTATTTATTGTATTTCTTTTATAAGAGGGAGAGAGACAGACAGACAGAACGAAACAGGCATCCTGACAGGGTCTTGTCATGCTTTGATCTCCACCAGCCTCCTGGTAGGCCAGGATCAGGACACATGCTGATGTGTTTCAGGCCCAGCTGGGAAGCAAACCTTGCTCTCCCCTGTGGCCCCAGCCCTGCAACACTGCACATGGCCCATGTCACCAGCTGGGCCTGCATGGCAATCCTGGACTCCTTCGATAGTTACAGAAAATGATG